TTGAAGAGCTGAGGGTCAGTCTCCGGGTTCAGAGCGGCCTTCTCATCGGCGGCAGGAGGGTGGTAGATCGGCGCCGGGTGCGGGTACACCGGCGTCGGCGGCTTGTATTCTGGCACGGGCTTCGGGTGCGTGTACACCGGGGTGGGCGTCGGCGGCTTGTACTCGGGCACCGGCACCGGCGCCAGTTTCTTGTGGAAGTGCGGGATCACGATCGGCTTCTTGTGGATGTGCGGGATCACGATCGGCTTCTTGTGGATGTGCGGGATCACGATGGCCTTCTTGTTGAGGTGAGGGACGACCAAGGCGGGCTTCTTGTGGAAGAGGTGCTTCTTGTGGAAGAAGTGGCAGAGGAACGCCGACGCGCACTCCTGGGAGGAGTAGTGCACCTCGCCGGGGACGGCGACGAAGCCGTTCTTCTCGGCGCCGTTGGCGGATTGCCGGACGATCATGGACGGCTCCTGCCCGGGGCACGGGTGGTCGGGCGCGCTGTGGAGCTGCGCGAAGCAGTCCTGCTTCAGCTCGCCATCCTCCCGGAGGAGGTCGGCGCCGAGGGGCACGCCGAACGCGCCGGACTTGTCCATCGCGCCGACGGCCTTGGTCTCGTATTCGCCGTGGGCGTTCTTGCACTTGACAGCCACCTGAAGGCCTGAAGAAATCAATCAAGTGCAGAGTTAGATATTCTACCAATAAAATTGCCCAGCAAAATGACATGGTTGAAGCATCAAGCATGCATATCATCTTTCTTACCCGTGAAAGCAGCCTCAGCCTTCATGTTCTTCCTGGTGCAGTCGGCGCACTTGGCCAAGCCGACGACCATCGACGACGCCGGCGATGCATCGGCGAGCACGGCCGCCACCAGGACGGCGCAAACGCCGAGGACCAGCAGACCCCGAGGCAGAGCCCCCATTGCGGAATGGGTTGCTTCGAGAAGATGGTTGGTGATGGAGAGGAAACAGTGGGTGGAGATTAAGCTGGTGCAGTGCCATGCTTATATAGTCCGAGCTGCATGCGTTCGGCGGGAGTTAAGTGAAGGGTAGGCCAAAGTCTGGCGCCGGATTTGCAGACTGTGAGTTAATGCCGCACAAACCTAATCGATCCTTCTCCTGTACTTGCCAGATCGACCTGCATTTGCATGCAACTCGTCTTTGTACTACAGTCCCATGCACGCAAACGCTGAGATGATCAACTACTACTGCTGACATTGAAAGAACAGCAATTATTGCTTGTATTGTTGGAACTGGCCAGTTATATATTGCTGTGCTAATTTACAAAAGATAATATATTCATGATTGTATCCCCGATGAAGCAAATTGTTGGTGGCATGAGAGTGTGCCATTGAAAGGTGGCACAAATTGTTGGTGGCCTTCTTTCTCTTTTTTTTTTCTTTTTTCTTTTTGGCAGCTTAGAATGATTTTTTGTTTGCTTTTGGTTCTGTTCTTGCGTCTTCTACTGATACAACACAGCTCCCCTACTTGGTTTTAGAAAATAATAATCGGTTATGTTTTTTATAATCTTATATCAGTGCATACATATAATTGAAGATTGGATTTTGAGTCTTGATGGGTCATAATAGATCATGTGGTGACATAAAAAAATAGGAGTTGCTAAATCTCATCTAGGCCATACAATCTTTTGTCTAAACACACTCCGGCTTTATCGATCATATCAAAATTCATGGGAATACAACTTAAGTCTGGAGAATTAAGGAGTCAAAGATAGCATCCTAACGAAAGTCCTAGAGCATGCTTAGCGAGGCTATGTGCCTTAATATTTGTATCACGTCCTTCGAAGATGAAGGAACATCTTGTAAACTAGCTCGACGTTGATTTAATCTCCTTGGCAATGCTCGCGTATAGACCCTCCATACCCTTGTGTATGTCATTCACCACTCCTTGCAATCCGAAAAGCTATCACCACCTGAGATAACTAGAGATCATGGGCCAGGGAGCAAGAGCTTCCCTACGAGCCAAGACCTCTACTGAGACCGGATCAATCACCGCCGAGCATTTGATCGCCAAGGAGCCCAATAACTTCCCCGAGTCATCCCCAAACTGTATTGTATGAGCCCTCATTTGAATTTCGCGAAACTGCCCCATCAACTCCAATTTTCGCAAGCCCTTGAGCCGGAGGGAGGGATGCATCGGTGGGTATGTGTTCTAGTAACCGCTGCAAGGTTACCAGTAGGATTCTTAGGCCGGCATGGTTCTAGCTCCCTAATGTAGCTTTTTTACAAAGTGGTGTGTGGCATGCAGAGTTTGAAAAATCTGCTCATGTATCGCCTTCCTGAGGGAGTTCCAGTTTGCTTAAGAGACAACAAGAACTTTGGTAAAATCTACATGTGAGAGAGCATCCATCGACGAAAAAATGTTTTACATCTGGCTCTTTGTTATCATATATCTCATCCACCAGGTCTTGATATTCAAGAGCCCAAACAGACCTTAGCGAGGCTATGTGCCTCAATATTTGTATCACATACTTAGAAGATGAAGGAACATCTTGTAAACTATCACCTTGACAATGCTAGAATTTCCGAGAATATAGGCCCTCCATACCCTTGTGTATGTCATTCACCACTCCTTGGCAATCCGAAAAGCTCTCACCACCTGAGATAACTAGAGATCATGGGCTAGAAAGCAAGAGCTTTCCAACAAGCGAAGCCCTCTAGTGTGGTCGGATCCGTCACCCCCGAGCGTTTTATCGCCGAGGAGCCCAAGAACTTTCCTGAGTCATCCCTGCAAACTGCATTGTATGAGCCCTCATTTGAATTTTGCGAAAGTGCCCCATCAACTCTGATTTTTGAAAGCCCTTGAGCCCGAGGGAGGGATCCATCGGTGGGTGTGTGTTCTAGTAACCGGTGCAAGGTTACCAGTAGGATTCTTAGGCCGGCATGCTTCTAGCTCCCTAATGTAGCTCTTTTACAAAGTGGTGTGTGGCATGTAGAGTTTGAAAAATCTGCTCATGTATCGCCTTTCTGCGGGAGTTCCAGATTGCTTAAAGGGTAACAAGAACTTTGGTAAAATCTACATGTGAGAGAGCATCCATCGACGAAAAAAACGTTTTACATCTGGCTCTTTGTTATCATATACCACATCCGCCAGGTCTTGATATTCAAGAGCCCAAACGGACCTGGCCACGTAGCACTCAAGCAAAGAATGGTGTCAGCCACAAAGACCCCAGCTTTTCAATGTAGACACATTCCGGTGTTGCAACAAGTCAGCGGTTGGGAGAGATTGTTGAGCAAATCTCCACAAGAAAATTTGATCTTTGTTGGCACCTCAGTTTTTCACATTTTCATCCAAGATTTCCTCGTGTGATTTCTGCCCCCACACTCCTTGTTTCCACGGTCGGGGGAGGGCTTGTTAGAGCACCTCCAGCCGCGCCCTCAATAGGTCCTTCCCAGGCGTTTTTTCCGCACCGGCGTCCAAAAAACGGCCCAGTCGCGTCCTCAGGAGCCCTTTTTCGCCGGCTTAGGCCGAAATTGGCGCCGGCATTACCCAGGCCGAACCCGGCGCGCTGGGGACGTCCGGGGGCGCTGGGGCGAGCGTTTTTTGCATGAAAGAACGGCGGGCCAGCCGCGTCAGTGAGACGGCACCTCGTCTTCCCCCAGAGCGCCTCGTTTTCCCGCGGGGAATCAATGGCAAGGCTGCCGCCGGTCAGCCTTGCCATTGATTCCTCACGGGAGACGCGTCACGGGCGGCGCGGCGACGCCTCCTGTGGGAGTCCTGGATTAGGGGGTCTCCGGACAGCCGGACTATCTCCATTGGCCGGATTGTTAGACTATGAAGATACAAGATTGAAGACTCCGTCTCGTGTCCGGATAGGACTCTACTTGGCGTGGAAGGCAAGCAAGGCAATACGTATATGGATATCTCTTCCTTTGTAACCACCTTGTGTAACCCTAACCCCCTCCGGTGTCTATATAAACCGAAGGGTTTTAGTCAGTAGGACAACAATCACAACATACAATCATACCATAGGCTAGCTTCTACGGTTTAGCCTCTCTGATCTCGTGGTAGATCTACTCTTGTAACACCCATATCATCAATATTAATCAAGCAGGACGTAGGGTTTTACCTCCATCGAGAGGGCCCGAACCTGGGTAAAACTTCGTGTCCCTTGCCTCCTGTTACCATCCGGCCTAGACACACAGTTCGGGACCCCCTACCCGAGATCCGCCGGTTTTGACACCGACATTGGTGCTTTCATTGAGAGTTCCTCTGTGTCGTCGCCGTTAGGCTTGATGGCTCCTACTATCATTGATAGCAATGCGGTCCAGGGAGAGACTTTTCTCCCCGGACAGATCTTCGTATTCGGCGGCTTTGCACTGCAGGCTAATTCGCTTGGCCATCTGGAGCAGATTGAAAGCTACGCCCCTGGACATCAGGTCAGATTTGGAAGTTTGAATCACACGGCCAACATCCGTGGGGGCTTGATCTTCGACGGATTCGAGCCACAGCCGGGCGCGCCGCACTGTCGCAATGGGTATGACCTAGCTCGGCCACTGCACGGTACCCCAGAGGCCGCGCCCGCATCAGCTCCGACCCTTAGCTCGGAGCCAACTGCATCAATCGAGGACGGGTGGCTAGCCACCGCCTCAGGGGCTGCAGTCTCGACGGCGATCGAGCCAAACACCAGCATAATCCTCTGCGCAGCCCGTGACTCCAAGGTGCCGGACTCTTTTCCGGACTCCGAACCATCCGCGCCCCTGCCGATCGAATCCGATTGGGCGCTGATCATGGAATTCACCGCCGCGAGTATCTTTCAGCACTCGCCCTTCGGCAACATTCTGAATTCACTAAGGTCTTTCTCTTTGTCAGGAGAGCCCTGGCCGTATTATGGCCAACAGGATTGGGATGCGGACGACGAAGAAATTCGACGCCCACCCACCACCCACTTAATAGCCATTGTCGATGACTCAACCGACATGCTCGACTTCGACTCTGAAGACATCGATGGTATGGACAACGATGCGGGAGGCGAAGAGGAACCACCGCCCACAAGGCGCTGGACGTCCACTTCATCATATGACGTATACATGGTGGACACACAGACCCAGCGTTGGAGCAGGGCGAACCATTGCCGGGCCACGGCAATACGGAGAATCAAACCGAACAAACCAATTCTATCAAAGATAATAGTCCGGACGACACAACGCCGGACAGGCACCCGGAGCACCAGAATGCCCGTCAAAGGCTTGTTGCCACCGCGAGGAGTCTGAAAAGCAGAAGCAAAGGCTCAAGGCTGCGCAGGACACACTCCAAATCAGATGGAGTAAAGTACTCAACACAGCACCGAAGTACGGCGACAATCGCCCCACCAAGAGCTACCCAAAGCGGAAGTTGCTACCTGAATTCGATGAGGAGGCCTCAGACCCCTCACAACCAAAAATCAAAACAGCCACCTGGCCGGATAGATGACCTCACGGCCAACATAGAGCGGCAAACAATGCCACTCACAAGACAATACGCGATTCACGCGAGGACTTGCACCAAAAGGACAGCGCAACCAGATCCATCTATGGACCACACAAGCGTGCCCAAGCATACGATATAACACAACAAACATCCCAACAACGCGATACACCCAGATACAGGGGTGCCTCACACCCCCTATGTTTCACTGATGAGGTGCCGGATCATGAATTTCCAGAGGGATTCAAACCTGTAAACATAGAGGCATACGACGGAACAACAGACCCTGGGGTCTGGATCGAGGACTATATCCTCCACATCCATATGGCTCGAGGAGATGATCTCCACGCCATCAAGTACTTACCACTCAAACTCAAAGGGCCAGCTCGTCATTGGCTTAAAGGCCTCCCCGAAAACTCCATTGGAAGCTGGGCAGAGCTCGAAGACACTTTTCGGGCAAACTTTCAAGGGACTTATGTCCGACCTCCGGACGCGG